TTGTGTATGTCCCAAACAGAAGTCTGTGCAATATCATGATTGGGATTGGGGGTTTGGACAGGATTTATTCAATGTTTTGAAGAAGAGCAGAAAATTGACTTCTAATACTTCTGCAGTAGTGGGGGGAAAGTCTGTGCAAATTAACTTCAAACTAAGGGCAAATAAAAAGCAAAACAAAGCATCCTACTTTTTCTCTGAACTAGAATTTAGAAAGTAATTACATTCAGAGCAACAATGTTCATGGTGCAGTAAGTACAAAATTTAGACCAGTGGCTAAATCAGTACATGAAGCCTTTATGAAGGTCTATTATCATCTAAGACCTACATTAAGGAAGAAAGTAATTCATTTTTAGACTTCTGCCTAGGGCATGTTTGACACAAACTCTATACAGTTTATTTTAAAAGCTGTCTTTGATTACTAAATAGTTTTGCTTAGAAACTGCACATTTACCCTTAAAGTGCAAAGGCAAAGCTTTTAACACAGTGATAAATGTTGTCCTGTACTTCATACAGTCCTTAAAATAAGAAAAAAGTAAAGGTTGTAGCTTTTAGAAGGGTGTGTTACCAGAATTGTAATTTGCATTTGCAAATTCACAGGATTTTTACTATTAAATTAAGTCCAACAGCCAGTTTAAACCATCAGGGAGTGGTAGAGCTGAAAAGTGGTGTAGCAGATACTGTAACTGAATTACAGGAGGTATAAGTCACCCCTTAAGGGAGACACACAGCAGGGAGGACCACTTGCAGCACAAAGCTGTCAGGGAGATCTCATAGGAAACAGGCAAGGCTGGAAGTACTAGTGTTAGTTGGACAAGAAATAGATGACAAGTTATATGAGTATCTGCAAGAGATGTGTGTATAATTTGTCACTACATGTGTGGTATATACAGCTATCTTTTGAATAAGGGGATTGTGATTCCTTAGTTCTCTCAAAACTTGAACCCTGAAATTCTGAAGCATTATGTGCCTTTGCCTCTTACTTAAAGCATATAAACCCTTTTGACAAAGTTCATCTTGATGGTTTTAAGCATTCTTAGGCTTTTCAGTTTTGCATATGAAAAGCTGAAACTCTTGTGTGGCTGTCAGTGAACAGAGAGCCTGTGTTACAGTGCAAAGTGTAATCTGACCTATAGCACCTTCCAAAAAGCAAATGCTGAGTGTCAAGCCCACAGACATCCAGTGCAGAAGAACAGGTCCTGACAGTATTAGCAACTAAAGATGCATACGCAATTCCTTGCCTCCATGCATCCTCTCCAGTGCTGTGGGTCCTCTCTGGGATGGACTTGTAGGTGGGCAAAAGAAGAGGAGAGGACTGCTGGGCTTGCAGCTGGCATAGCAACTACTCCAGATTTTTTTTTAGAGAGGCCATTAGCAAATATAGGAAAAACCCCTTTGACCACCAAGGGATTTTACAGATTAGGCCACTTGCTGTGCACTAGAATTACAATTTATTATGTGTTTTGCAGAAGCAATAGTCTTTAATCGTGCATAATTCACTGCAGAACAGACATATTTTTAAGCATAGAAAGCAATTGAAAGCCTGGAGATAACTTGAAGTTTAAAAATGTCCAATTTTTAATATATTTTTCAAGGAAACATACCTTTCCTTAAGTCATTGTTTAAGTGATTTATTTGGTCTTCTGGTAAACTAGAAATTTGGGGAGTATCTAATCAGTCTGCTTTTAGAGAAAGTTGTCGTTCATTTACCACCTGACAGAGAGAGCTACCCTGGGGGCTAACTACAGGTTCTTGTGCCGCCTGAGGGAAAGGGCAGCAGTTTATGTTAATTCACTTTTTATAAGCCTTGCCTATGTTTGCAAAGCTGTTTTAAATTCATTGCTAAGAGTATGCCCAGCCATGTGAGTGACTATGTTGATGTTTACTGCAGTGCCGGTCTCAGTGATACCTTGCAGCAATGAGTTCAACAGATTTTCCACCACCTACTGTTGGGAAAAATATAATTTATTATTATTAGATGTATGACTTTTTCCCATTTCAGAGGAGACACCTTTTCTCCTTAGATGAGTTAGGGTGAATAGTTTCTGATCTACATTTTCTCTCTGCTGTTTATTTTCTTGTATCCTTTGATCATGCTCATTCTTAGTCACACTTTTCTGTAAGCACTCCCAGTTCTTTCAATCAGTTTATCATTCTTACTGCACCTTTTTCTGATGTATCTTTCTTAGGTGGGCTAACCAGAAATGAACAAGTACTCCAGACGAGTGCTCCAGATGAGGCCTAATTATTAAAATACATAACAAATAAAATCCTGGCTCTGTTGAAGTTGCTGTGAATTCATTGTCATCGAAGGACTGAGGTTTCTTCCAGTGCTGTCACACTTCCCACACTATTCTTCCTCCCATTTTTCATACATTCGATTTCAGAATTCGGCAACTTAGACTTAATCTAGAAACCTACAGATTCCATTAAATCCATTAAATTGCTGTTAGTTCTCAGATCAGGAGTTTTTCTCTGTGGACATGATTAGTTCCCTCCCCAAACTTTGATGAAAAAGGTCAAATTTTGTCCCGATTCACCTTTGTTTTGGATGTTAGTAACTAATCTTGATGTTAGTTTTGAGTAGCTGAAACTGAGAGAAGCTGCACAGACTGAAACAATGCTGTTTGTGTTCACAATGGCCTTTAGCTGCAAAACCTGCTAAAATACATTATTTAGTATATGAAAGCAAACAAATTTTTTGCCTCAGTAAATGACTGTCCATAGCGCTCTATGAGTATAAGGCAAAAAAACTGAGTTTCTTACAGTGTCAGCAAAGGAAATCTGTTGGTTTTTGTTTCCTCTCCAGAAACATCTAAGAAATGTTCAGATTGTTGCTGCCTAATAAATACAGTAAATGAAATGTTAATAAATTGCCAGCAATTTAGCCTGACAATAACACGGATTGACCAGATTGATTAAATTGATTATGTTTCATGTATTTACAATATGTAGACACAAGCCTAATTTATTTTCTGAAGAGTTCAAGGTAGGTATTACTGGTTTAAGAAAAAAAGCCAAACCAAAACAATGGAGTAATGTTTGTGGTTGCTATCTGCAATAATCTAATGCTGACAGAGAGCAGTATTTTATTTAGTAATTAACAGTGTAAAGGGAAGAGAAGCTGTCATGTTGGTTCTTAAGCTGGGGAATGTGATGAAAGATGATATCTGCGATCTCATCCTTTCCACTTGTTTAGGATTGTCAGAATGAGAAATGTCAGCATTATGAAAGCTCAGCTCTGCTCTTGATATGATAAAACCCTTCAAAAGCCAGTCTTTCTTTCCCTCTCCCCCTCCTTTCTCCCTCTCCTGCTTGCACTTGCTTTTTTATTTATCCTGTTTTGTTAGATGGCAGAAATATAATTCTTTTCTTTCTTCCTATTATAAGCCTCCATTTTTGTTTTATTATATGTTTCACAACCCCTAATGCCCCACTGAAAATTACCTTGTTAAATGACAGTGTTTCAAAGCCATGAATCCTTTCCACCATTCCCTCAGAGGTTTGAAACAGTCAACAGACTGTAAAGAATAAATAATAAAAAAGTATTGATTATTTTGATGACTGTGAGATTCAATTAAGTATTAATTTTGCCCTCCAGTGGACCTATCAAGGTATTCAAAAGGGAGGATTCGGCTCAACTAAATGCGTGCTGAGTGCTTCAGCCTTAAATAGGGAGAAAATGTGTTTACCTACAGTATTTGAAGAGGAGTGCATTGATGCACAGAGTCCAATATTTAAGTGCTGTGCAAATTGAGCCCTGGTGACAGTGACATTGTTTTCGGCAGTACGAGTATTGACTAAAGAAGAGCATTTGATGACAGCTTAAACTATTTGTATTGATTAACATTTTCATAGATTATCATGTGTCATATCAAATTCACTTTTCAGACATGAATACATTAAAAAACCCACAGGCGAACATCGACCAATGTGGGGACAGGACAGAGGGAACATGCTAGCCAACCTACTTGCTCGCTGGTCACCTGTTCTCTGCATAAGAACCATTTAGGCATGAACTTTGCAATAAATAGCTGCTAGAGAGATCAACAAGGTCACTTGCTCCTTTTCTTTTTCTTAGTTATTTTTTTTTTACTCTGCTTTCTGTCCTGTCATGATATTATGCTTATTATTTTGCAAACGGAATAACCGAGGGTGCTTGGAAATAATGCCTGACCCCCAAACATCCTCAATGAGCAGAAGATAAAACAGATTCTGATCATCAAGAAAAAAATTAGTTGTGTACATATGTGTAATGTTTTGTGAGGCATATAATGGTGCAAACACAAGAATAATTGCAAACTGTATGTGTAAGTATCTTCCCTAATTTTATTTTATAGAAAATGTTTTCTGTGGTTTTTATTTTCAAAAGAAAAATCCGTGTTTGTGTCTTTATGGACTTTTGGTGCATAGTATCCCAATGACCAGAAGAGTTAGAAGAAAATTGTATCTCTTTTAAAAGTATGTAATGAAATGGCTATTTGATGCTGTGTATTTTCATAGAAATGCTGTAATGCTAGAAACTGTGCATTTGATTTTGTTAATGTTATGCAGCTGAAGATGCCTCTTTAAATCACTATGGAGCACTCACAGGGGGCTCCTCTCCTGTGGTATCGGAGCATATAGGAATTTCTTCTCTTACTATGCTAAGGACAGGGTGAGGTGTAAAAACATACACACAAAAAAAGCACATCCCACAATTAAAGCTGTGTTGGTTATGTTGCTTTCATGGAAGTTTTTCTCCAAAGCATCCTGAATCTCTCACATGCTAGTTGAGCTTTAATAGGGTGGGGAGTAATGGAAAACTCATTGGATCTGTAATAGCTCTTCACTTGACTGCAGCCAGCAATAACAGCAGGAGCAGCCAGAGATAAGAGAGAGAGAGAGAGTGTGTGTGTATGTGTGTGTGTGTGTGTGAGAGAGAGAGGGAGTGGAAGAGAGAGTATACGCACACCAAAGCTGCCACTTTTTTTCCCCCTCACTCTTTTTTCCCCCCATCCTAGGATCCAATGATAGCTGGACAAGTCAGTAAGCCCTTGCTGTCACTGCGGAGTGAAATGAATGCAGAGTTGAGAGGTGAGGACAAGGCAGCTACTTCAGACAACGAGCTGAATGAGCCCTTGCTTGCGCCTGTGGAATCAAATGACAGCGAGGACACTCCCAGCAAGCTCTTCGGTAAGTCTGTCTAGGTATTTCATTTCACTGCTACCATGTTGTCCGGAAGAGCAATCTTCCCCTTTTTTTTTTTTTTTTTTTTTTTTTTTTTTTGTTCGCTCAATTTTCTTGTAAGTAGGAAAGAGTAGCTTGGAGCATGCAGGCTCAGAGTCCTCCGCTCCTATTGCAACTGGTTATCAGAATGACAGCATCAGTCCTGAAAACTTTTGTTAACAATGGACGTATTTAGTGCAAGTTGCAGATGTTTTATGAATTTTTTTGAACCATGGACTCTAACGTAAAATTGTGTGTGTGTATAATTTTCTTGGAGTACTTTTACAATTATTGTGGTAGGTGCTGGTATGTTGCACATGCTACTATCATTTTCTGAGGCTTGATTAAACTGAAAAGTTAAAATTTTTTTATGGTAAATATAAATCTGGCTGAAGAGAACTGAAAGGTTCTTGTACAAAACACTTCATACTGAGTAAACAAAGCCTAGCAAGGGTATTGCATGTGGAGCTAATGTTTTTGGAATTTAAATTAGAAATTAAATATTCCTCCTTAAGCTTGTGGAAAGAGAGATTACCTTTTGATTTTTTATTCATTTTGGAATAGTCTAAATTGTGCCAGATAAGTGTAGCATTTCACAATCAAAACAAAAGCAGTGAGAGTGGCACTCCAACACAGACATCTGTCATTCAAATGGATGACACCCTGTAAGCCAACTCAAGCAACTCTGATCTCTAATCAGAAAAGGGAGCAGAGCTGTTGAGGCGCGTGCTTGAGTGATAGATGTTGATAGGTGTCTGAGCTGTAGCAGCATTGTATGGTATATTGTGACATTTGGGGTTTAGAAGGAGTACACTCCTGAAGAAGTCCCTTTTAATTATTTCTGTTTGTGACCTGAGACAAACCTTAATAAAAATGGAGCACTTAGTTATTTTTTATTATTCTATTGGTGGAAGTCAAAGGGAAAAAGGTCTTCTTCAAAGGGAATGCAGCTGTAAGGGAGAGAGGGTGAGAGCCCATTTTCTAAGATTCAACTTTTGATTTCATAATCTGTAAGGAAATCTGTAGCTGTGTTCAGATTTCATTCTTTTACCTACAATAAGAGCCGCAAGATTTTTTAAAAACAAAAGAACACGTGCAATTGTATATTGTAATATTCTTTGCACATTACTGAAAGATACAGCACAGAATGTTTTACTAAATAACTTCACTACAGATGCAGGAAAAATAATAATTAAACACCCTTAAAATTTAATTTTTCTATTGCAGTAATGACTGTTACTGAATATCACATACATTTTTAAGCACCCTCTTAGTAATCTTTGTTTCCATGGAAAGCATAATTTCCATTAGCAGTTTGAATGTTCAAAAAGCATTTAATAATTATTTTAGCCCATTTTATCCAGGAAAGAATTATAAATGTCTAAAATTCAAAAGGCTACCAGTTATCTAGAGTAATATAAATATCTTCAGCTGTGTTTATATGTTTTATTTGCTCAAATATTTAGGCTCCCTCTATTAAATACAGCCAGGCATATAGAAAGAAAAAATGAGCTTTTAATTTCAGGATACTGAAATGTCTGTTTGTCTTGATCAGGCAAGTATTGTAATAAAAGGCAGAATATTTTCTGAGCCCTTGTCATTTGGATGTTCTATAGTGGTAGTGAAAAATACACAGACACTTTCATTAGAGTTGTCGTGTATGATATAGAAATGATGTGTAACCGTATCTTGCTCCTTTCTGGGCTGAAAATATAATTTATCTTAATAAAAGCACAAGTGAAAGAGCTAAAAATTCATATATTGTGCTTTTTCTACTGGTGAGTGTAAAATGTTTGCTAGTCTGATCCTTATACTGCAAAAAAGACGTTCCCAAGTAAACAAAAGTAAGTGAAATAGTCCAGCTGCCTCGGTATGAACTTATGTACCATTTATTGAGGTTTTGTTAGAATTATGACAGATGCTACAGATCTATTAGCAACAGCCCTCGTAAATTAATTTTAGTAACTTTTATAACAACAAAAAAAAGGTATAGTGGGGCAATTTTGATACATTTGAGGATCAAATTGAGACAATGTAAAATAAAGATGATTAGATGTTATATCACAGTGCATCCCTTAAGATAGATATGCAGTAAACACTAAAAATTATCAAGTGCAGTTGTGTTTAAAGCTCTGATACCTAAATATGGAACATCACCACCCTTTAGTTTTTACTTTGTTTAATGTTATGAATAGCATGTTAGGAATGCATACTTTGTACTTTTGTTTGCAGTGTCTGAAGTTAAATTATTGTAAACATATTGGCAGGTGTTGGCATAGAGAATGACAACTTTTTCCTTCAACCTTCTTTAATGTAATCAGAAATAATAAATATCTTTTTACAAGATAACAATTAATACATTCTGTGTAAAATTTTTCCCCAAATCTCTTAAGTAGATGAGGGAGGAGCATTTTAGAAAGTCAAGAGGAGACAGGTCCCTAGAGAACAAAGTTTTTCTACAGTGCTGCTTTTCATTTTTTTTAAGGATTTGTGAAAATCATTACTGATTTAGTTGGAATGAATGACCAGCATTTGTGTGTCTTGTTGATTTTAGCAACATTTCATGAGTCTTATTTTCATATAGTTGAACAGGGTTGAACGATGAGATGCGAAGAGCTTTCTTTTTTTTTACCAGACACATTCTGCTTAGCTTCTTTTGATGGATGAGTTTATTTCTGCAAAGGCCTGCCTTTCTCACCTGTACTTTTTCTAAAATTCACTTACTTATTCTCAGATTTCCTTGTTCTGGTATTTCACTGCATGCCATAGAAACAGTGGGTATTTGGTTTTTGTTAGCAGTCAAAATGGTTCCTTTTCAGTAACAGTCCCTCTGGCCAGTGAGGAAAGGGCAGGAGCACAACTAATTGTATTTATTTTTTACAAGAAGCACTAAAATTTTGTTTCTCTTATGGGTGCTTTGCTATCAGTAACAAAGCAGATGAACGCTGCAGCATTTTAAGTCTCAGAAATACCAGCATAAGTTCCTGACAGTTTGAAATAACTTCCACCTGAAACTGGTGTGCAGGTGTCTGGGAAGATGCACTTTGTCACTCTGTTGCAGCTGCTCTCTGTGGATGAGGACAGGAGTAGCTGTGATTAGAGGGGTTGTGCCTTGTTGTTGTTTGCTGGCTTGTTTTCTCCTGGTGGTGTTTGGTTTTTTTTAATTTATTTTTAAAAATTTGTTCCTATTTGAAAGAAAATGCTGTCCTGTAGTCCAGGAGTCTGTAATCCTCTACTTGTGCTTTTGTACCAGTGGACTCTTTTGAATTTGCATACTTCATGCTAAAGACTTTTGATACTGAAGTTACATGAAACCACAAAAAAGTAGAAAAAGTAATAAAAAATTAGGTACAAAATGTTGGTAAAGAAATCTCTCCTGAAACTCATTACCTCAAAAAATACAGTTTTGAAATGTGGGTTAGCACAGCTACACTGTTTTGGTTACAGAAATCCCAGTATGAGGTGAAGTTACTTTGTAAGAGATCTTGTGGTGAATTATTTATTTTAAAAAATATTTGTGAAGTAATATCTCCTATTTTAACCATAGAATCTAATTAAGTAACATAGAAACTGAGTATGGCTCTTGACTTTTTTGGCAGTGTAATTTTCAGATCAACTTGTCTTACTCTACAATATCCTTCAAAATACTAGCCCAGGCCAAATGCCACTGGTCTTACTAGAGAAAGCTTTTGTTAATGTTAAGTAGCAGTTTCACTTTAATAAGCATATTGGTATTTGATCCTAACTTAACTAATCCTACTTGTAATTTTTTACTGTATTTTCAAACAATTCTAGTATAAATTATGAAGTGTTGCTCTGAAAAAAAAAAATTCTAAGAGAAAAAGCACCCATCACATTTAGCTGTGTGATAAATTGTTGAGATTCAAAAGTTGGTATAGACACTGTGGGTATGTTGTATATTAAATTCTTAGTAGGGTAAAAAATCCCAAGACTGAAGTGGCTGATCCAAGCATCAAAACCTCCTGTGGACTGAAGCTGACTTTCCTGGATTTAGATCTAGTGCTTAATTAATGCTTAATTGAAGGCAATTTGTGACATAATTAGATGACAGGGGGAAAAAAAGCTGGGAGTGCATGCACTTGCATATTAAGGTAATTCTACTGTATGATAAAAAGTTATTTTTGAGATTCAGTCTGTAGTTCTACAAAAAAAAGAAAAAAAAAAAAGCTGTAAGTATATAGCAAGGGCAATGCCAAGCCTCGAATTTTGGAGCAGAAATGTTTCCTATTTAATTGTTGCAGGACAGAAAAAAAAATTGACTGCTATCCTTTTTTTTTTTTTTTTTGTCCTTTGCTGGCAAGGTTTTGTTCCAGTGAAATTAAATCTTATTTTTTTTTGTACTGGATCTGATGACTGTGGTTTTCTTTGGTTCATTAGTGGGCTTTTGATCTTTTCATAATGCTGTGTATGCTTGAAATATGGAGTGGGGATATGGGAGTTAAATGAATCTGCACACATTTAAATAAACAAGTTTTTATTTTCAAACCTCTGCACTGGCTTTGGGATTTTATTTTCCTTTCCCACATTGTTATCCATGTTTCAGAACTGTGTTCATCCTTCTATGTAACATGTATATGCTGCAGAGAAACAAAGTAGAAGTTGTTTCTGGCTGATTATGTTCTGCTAGTAGATTCCTTGTATTACTCTTGAAAGAAACATATATTATATATATATATATATATATATATATATATATGTATTTTAATTGGAGTTGCCTTGATTAGAATTTATGGCATTGGAATAATTTCAGTCACAAAGGACAAAGGACTAAATTGTCTTTTACCTCTTGAGACTGTGGTCTCTGCAGGTCAGACCAGAGGTCATTGCCAGGTTGCTGTGAGGAAGCTGGCATTATCATCCTTAACAGTATATCTAGCCTGTGGGGGCTTCAGACTATGAGCTTTCCTTTCATTAGTGTATTTAAGGATGATTCTCAGTGGCTTGGT